TTTCTCTCCCTTTTTTTTTTCTCCATAGTGTTTTCAGTTGATGAACTCTTCTTATTTCACTAATCAAAATAAGGAACTGAGAAGAGATTTTTCCACCACTGCGTTTACCAACCAACCTGAATCTATGCTCTTACATTCTGTCCTCTCTCTTCTTTAATTGCCAGAGAACTCATTTACTTACTAGATAGAGAGACAGGCCTGGGCAGGGGAAGAGGGTATGGAGAGAGCACTCCCCAGGGATGTGTTCTTGCTGCAAACCCATCTCTTCCATTTCTATATGCTGTTGGGATTTGCAGAATGCATGCACACACACCTGGCATATGATTCAAGTCCACGGGGCCAGGATTCACACTGCGGTTGAACATTAGAGACCTGAGTCTCTTAATCATTAGGCAGGCTCCCATCTCTTGTACCTATAGTTGTTGATTCTACTCATGATCCTGAGACCCATCTGGGTACTTTACTTTTTCCGTGCATATCTGCCCCAAAATTATACTTGCAGCTTGCAATTGCCTTTGGATTCCATATGCATGAATCTAATTGGACCTGACATATATAATTAAATATTTAAAAACCATCATTCTGGTTAACACTCAAAAACTGAATTTCTAATAACATCCCTACCTTCGTGTCCCATCCCTGTTACTTTACATACATATAAGTGCAACCAAAAAATAGTTTCTTCTACGGTTTCATCTGTCTCAATGAATGCAACTCCATTCTTCATGTCTTGAACCAAACCACTTAGTTTTATTCTAGGCCATTTTGTTTTCTCACAATATGTGTATTGTCCTGTAAGAAAAGCTATGACTCTCCCTTCAAAACGTATCAACAAGAGGCCAGCAAATGGTGCAGTTGTTGCATCGCTGGACTCCCCCATGGCTGACAGTGGTTAAAGTCCTGGACCAAAGGCTTGAAAATCACTATGAGTGTGTCAGTGTGCATGCCCAAGGTACCAGGAGGAAAGTGGAGGAGAAGGGATTACAGTGTGGCCATCCCCCCTGCAGGGTGATTTCTCACTTTCCTTACCACTGTCTATATCTCTTTCTCTCTCTCTTTGATGAGCACATGTGCCATATGACAAAAACCTCTTTAAAAAAATGTACCAACAATTTTATGACTGCCATCTCCCTCTGCTAATCCCACCTTGGTCCAGGCCACCACCACTTTTGCCTGAGTTATGCACTGACTTCAGAGCTGGAGTCATGCTGATTCCCTTGACCCCTTGCATTGGATTCACAAGAGTAGTTACCAAACTGAGCCTCTTAAGTCAGAGAATGTTCCTCTTCTGCTCAAAAACATTCAGTGTTTCCTACTTCCATCAGACAAGAAGCCAAAAATCTTCATAATTATCTAAATGCCATACAAGTTCTAGCTTCCACTTGCTCTCTGACCTCTTTATTTCCCTGCTTTATTATTTCTTCTTATCACTTTTCACTCTATAACATTCTATGCTCTTTACTTTTCTACCTTGTTTCCTTCCATTCTCCCTCCCTCAGGAGACTGTAAATGCTATGAGGACAGGGTTTTTTGTTGTTTTGGGTTTCTATGTTTTGTGTATTACTGTATTGTTAAAGCCTAGATCAGTACCTAACCTAGTCAGTAAGTGTGCAGTAGGTGGTTGTGGAATGGGTGCTGGCAGGTGGCATGGTGTTTAAGGTGTTAGACTCCCACATGGCTGATCATAGTTCGAGTCCCGGACCTGGTGGCTTGCCTTCTCACTTTCTCTTTTCTCTCTCTGTGGCCAAATTAAGAAATAAAAAATAACAAATAAAATTAAATAAATAAATAATGGCTGTGGAATGAAGGAATGATTTAATAAATGAAATTTTTTCACTGGCTACCTTACAAACCTTGTATCATCTGTTGTGCATACTAATGTGTTTATAACTGTAATAATTTAAAGTGTGATCTCTGGAATCAGAGAGAAGTTTGAATTCCACCTCTGCCTTACAATATGACCTTGAGCAATTTACATAATATCCCCAAGTTTTATTTTCACATTTTTTAAATGCAGACAATAATCGTGATTGACTGGTCCATGTGCGGTGGCTCAGGTGGTAGGGTTCCTCTGTGCAATATTGGCCTAGGTTCAGATCCCAGGTTGACCCAAACACACTGGGTGCACCTGTGCACACCCAGGATCCTGGATGCCTTGGATGCTAAGGGAAGGATCATGGCATGGCTTGGGCCTCTCAAGGGTATCTGCTTATCTCTCTCCCTTTCATGAAATACATAAATATTAAATTAAAACTTAAAAAATGGTAATAATGGTGACTTACTAATTCATAGAATTGTTACAAGAATTAAATGAGAAAATGGAATTGAAATGTTCAGGATATCTCACAGTAGACTTAGTACGTTTTCAGTAGAAATAGTTCATATTTCATTAATGTAGCAAATATATATTATTTTTTTATGTCTTGATTTTTACTTTTAAATATTTTATATAATCCCTTTGATGCTGGAAATAGTAATTCTGATTTAATTTAATTAAAACCTCTCAAAATATTGTTTTGCTGATATTTTATCACTTGTTCTTTGAAAGTCAATTAGACAACTAGAAGTTCTGTTCCAGTGGTTGTTTTTGGTATCCTCATGTCATACAAGGAAATAGCTTGGTGGTTTCATCCATTCTTCTAAATGATAGAATGGAAAAAATGTTGGCGATTTACCTGGATTTTGTGTTCAAAAAATCATCCTCTGAAGCAAATCATCACAATGTATTATGTCATTAGTTGGAAAGATGTTTTTCTAAAATCTGTACTTGTTGAAATTGTTTATATTTGTAGCAAGTCATCCATGTATAGTAGACCTTTACACTTTATGTCCAATAACGTTGAGCTTTTAAAAAGAAATATAGTCCTTTAAAAAAAAAGAACAGGCCTTTTATTTTTAAATGGTTTTTAAAAATCAACAGAAGTTTCTTATTTTTTATTTCAGTTTATGAAATTTTAAATTCTGTGTTCATAAATAAAGTTTATTGAAACATTAAAAAAAGAAATATAGGGATCAGAAGTTAGCATAATGGCTATGTCACTGGACTCCCATGTAGTCAACCACGGTTCATGTCCCGGACCCGGTGGCTTAAACTCATGCCGGGCGCGTGTGCATGTGTGCCCAAGATCCCGAGAGGAGAATGGAGGAGAAGGGATTGCAGTGTGGCTATCCCCCCTCGGGGGTGATTTCTCACTTTCTGTCTCTCTGTGTCTCTCTGTCTGTCTGGCGAGTGCATGTGCCCTATAACAAAAACCTCTCCCCCCCCAAAAAAAAAGAAATATAGTCCTTAATAATACAACAGTTGGCCACACTTGGATAGAGTAGTGCAGCAGTAACACAATACTCTGAAAAGCTGAAGCCATATGGAAGATTAGGACACATTTCCCTGGTTAACCTGTGCAAGCTAGGCATGTACATGTACACCTATGAAACTGTCTGAATGGAAAGGCTGAGGAGGATCAGGGCATGAGACCTACAGAGTGTTTGTTTCTCTCTCTCTCTCTCTCTCTCTCTCTCTTTCTCTGTCAGTAAACAAAATATTTTTTTTAAAGGGAAAAGAATGTAACAGCCCCAACTATTTGACAATCACATAATCCAATTACATTTTTATAATTAATAAGTCAGATGCATGGCCGCATCATTTTTCTCATATTGAGTTTAGTTTTGATGATCAAGATGTAGAGAACATGCCGAGGTCACAGTAAGGGGTTGATTGCACCGAGTCACACCAAGTATCTGAAAATTTTGCAATGAATAGATTTCACTGCACATTTTTCACAGGTGGGAATTTACACTGAGAAACAGCATGTCTAAGATAAGTAATTTTGGTAAGATTACCTAAGGACTACTTAGAATTGATCATTTGCTAGGTAGAACTAAAAGTCCAATTGTTATGACTGCTAGCCTGGCTTTTGTTTGGCACAATTGTTTTCCTGTGTCATGGACTAGTAAGAAATTTAATCTTGAGCCTAGGAGTCCTAACTTGAGTCCCATTCTCAATTCTGTAATACAAAAATTCTTAATTTACTCCTTTGTAGAAGAATAGGGGTTATATCTGCTCTATCTTTTACGAGTTGTAGAATTATGTTAAAGGTGGAGTTCATAAAAATGAGATGTGTGCATTATAGTTGGAAGACTATTTTAACAGCAGTAGTAGCAGTTTCTAATGCTGCTGTTGTCTTCAACTCTTACTCTGTTCTTCCTTTTAGTTTCTAAACCTCTGTATCTTCATCACCACCCTCCCCATACCCCTTCCTAAAAGAAGTATAATGCATGTTATCACTAGGAAAGTCAGTGATAAAATCATACTGACAGCCAAACTCTCCAGTCCCTCCTCTTTTTTGGAGGAAAAAAATTTTTTTCTGGAGAAAATTTTTTTTTTCTTGAAGAGGTTTTTGCCTTAGGATGCGTGCACTCCCAGGAGAGAGTGAGAAACAGACACTTAGAGGAAAAGTGTGAAATCCCCCCCCCCCCCCGATGGGTGGTCATTCTGCAATTCCTTCTCTGTTTTCCTCCTAAGGTCTTGCCCATGCATGCAGATGTGACCAATGTGAATTTCAAATGACTGGGTCTGGGATTCAAACTGCATTCAGTGATGTGGGAGTCCAACAACCTAACTGCAATGCCATCTGCTGGCGCAACTGGGATAATTTTTTTTTTTGGAGAGGTTTTTGCTATAGGGCGCGTGCGCTCGCCAGACAGAGAGAGACAGAGAGATAGAAAGCAAGAAATCACCCCCCAGGGGGGATGGCCATGCCACAATCCCTTCTCCTCCATTCTCCTCTCCGGATCTTGGGCATGCACGCACACGCGCCCGGTGTGAGTTTAAGTCACCGCTTCTGGGACTCAAACCGCAGTTGACTATGTGAGAGTCTAGCGACATAGCCATTACACCAACTGCTGGTCCCACTGGGATAAAATTTTAATAACACCAAACTGTCTCTTTTAATCCTGTACTTGGATATTAGTTGCAATAATAGTTCCATTTCTCCTTTGCACAGGAAATGACTTATTTCTCGTAGCAGTTCATGAATTGGGACATGCTCTGGGACTGGAGCATTCCAATGACCCCACCGCCATCATGGCTCCATTTTACCAGTACATGGAAACGGACAACTTCAAACTACCTAATGATGATTTGCAGGGCATCCAGAAGATATACGGTAGGTTATCAGTTTCTGCTTGGTTAATTCCACAGTAAGCCCGGAATTTCTGTTGTGTTTTCTTCTTTGAAATAAATGCTTTAATTAATCAAGAATGAGAAAAACCGAAGAAAAATAAAACTAAAAGCTAAATAAAAAAATTCTGTCTTTGGCAAAATTTTTCTGTTAGTTGAGATATATATATATATATATATATAAAATCAGAAAGTCTTAAACATGATGAAGTTATCTTATTATGTTTAGTTGAAACTTGCAGTTATAATAAAATCTAATGAGCCTTATTATTTAAAATTTAGGTCAAAAATATGTAATAAATTAATATATCCAATAAAAACAGTGAGAAATATAAGAACTTTGTATAAGATGCTGAGACTTTGGTACAACTGACAGATTGG